ATAAAAATTGAAGAAATATAATTTTTTTCTTAGATGTTTTTGTTATGATGTAAATAATATATTCCCAAAAGGTCTTCAGTAAATTAAAAATTACCCTGTATACGTATGTATGTAACGTACATAGTGTTTGAATATTACATATTGTAATTCTTGTTATTCCTTCTTACAACTTAATTGATCACTGTGGACAACTGGTTTCATTACCTTATATGCACAAAAAAACAGGTAATTGAGAAAATTGTGTTTGTTCCTATTAATGCAAAACGCCTAGAGAGATTTAGAAGTAATATGGTAAAAAACCTGCCATCGCTTTCTTATAAGAACCATGCAGACTAATTATATGGAGAATTATTGACCCTTATAAGCATTGAATTTAAAAAAAAACATTTACTTCTAAAACATTCTCCATAAACAGTCGCAAGGCATTTAATGAGTGGGCGACAGTAGGAATTCATAAAAGCAGACGATGGTTATATGACCTTTACAATGAACAATTATATAATCTTTACGATGCTTTTAAAGAATATGTCAAAAATTATTCTAAAATGTTTAAAAGAGTTTGCTCCACAGCCAAATCGTTACATATTAGCAACAAAATTAAGACGGCTAAGAATAAAATTAAAATAATGTGGAGTATAATTAACAATGAATTGACTAAATCAAATCAAGAAGTCGCAGCGGTGTTTGAGAAATATTTCACTGATATTCCTATCTTGATAACAGAGTCATTGAATACTTCTCCAACTGTCGCCGAGTCATTACTCAAACAGAACGTTAATACCTGTTTAAAAGAATTTAGATTTGAAAATGTACTACCGCAAGATATTGTAAAATACTTCAAAACCATTGATGTAAAGAAGTCCGCAGATTTTTGGGGGATTTCCGTTACAGTTATTGCGTCCATAATAGATTTAATTGCACCTTATCTTGCTATTATTTTTAATGCTTGTATCGATTCTGATGTGTTTCCTGATTTAATGAAGTATAGTAAAGTAATACCTTTATTAAAATCTGGTAGTACAATGGACCCCGCTAATTTAGACCTCTTTCTGTACTACCAACTCTGAATAAAATTTTTGAAAAACTAATTTTGGATCAATTGTTAATTTTTTTAATACAAATAAATTACTTGATAAAAACCAATTTGTTTTTACAAGGGGTCGCTCGACGTCTGACGCCGGTGTTGAGTTTATGAAATATATTTTTAATGTCTGGGAGAATTCACAAGGTATTTTCTGTGATCTTTCCAAGGCTTTTGATTGTGTTCATCATGAGACATTAATCAGGAAACTACAACATTACGGTGTGAAAAATTTGGCGCTTAGACTTATTACTTCATATTTGAGTAACAGAACTCAAAAAGTCGTGATCAATGGTAAAGGTTCCTCCGGATCGGTAGTATCAATGGGCGTTCCTCAGGGCTCGATTCTTGGCCCATTCCTGTTTTTAGTATATAATAATAACTTACCTTATCTTGTAGGGGACAATCACGATATAGTATTATGTGCTGACGATACCTCTTTAATTTTCAAACTCGAATGGCAGTTAATTAATTATGACGATGTAAATAATGCTCTATCGAAATTGGTACATCGCTTTAACGCCAACAATATGCTCTTAAACGGCAATAAGACAAAGTGTATTAAATTTACAATACCTAATGTAAAACATTCGAATACCAATGTGCTGTTAAATGGGGAGGAGTTGAGTCTTGTGGATACCACTGTTTTTCTTGGTATTACTATTGACGCGAAACTTCAATAGGGCCCCCATATATCTCAATTAGCAAGCAGACTTAGTTCTGCAGCATATGCTGTAAGAAAGATGAGAAGTCTCACAGATGTTGAGACAGCTAGATTAGTGTATTTTAGTTACTTTCATAGCGTAATGTCGTATGGAATTTTGCTATGGGGTAATGCAACTGATATTGAAGCTATATTTGTTTTGCAAAAGAGAGCCGTACGGGCGATTTATAACCTAAATTGTAAAGAGGCCCTCAGAGAAAAATTTAAATAAATAAACATATTAACTTTGGCATCGCAATATATTTATGAGAATGTAATTTACGTGCACAAAAACTCAATAAGAATAAGGATGTCCATACTTTAAACACTAGGAACAAACATAAGCTTGTTATGCCAGTTACTAGACTCCACATAACCAGTAATTCATTTATGGGGCAGTGTATACTCTTTTACAACAAAATCCCAGAACATATTCAAAGTTTAACAATAAACAACTTAAAAAGTTTTATTAAAGAAAAACTGTACAAAAAGGGCTATTATAATATCAAGGAATACATGAATGAAAATAACCCCTGGGAATAAGGTGATCGCCACCATGCTGGTTCTATGAAAAATCATTTAAAAATTGTATAAACGAAATTATTGTTAAGTGAAATATGTTTGGAAAAAAAGTCCCGCTGGGTTTCTTGCTGGTTCTTCCCAGGACAGAGGTATTTTCCGAACCAGTGGTAAATAAAAATGACTTTCAATAAGTATTATGTAATAATCAATATTCAATAAAAAATTATTCTATTCTATTCATAAGAACAGACGAAGGTTATATAAACTTTACCATGAAAGATCATATAAAATTTCCGATACTTTTAGAGAATATGTCAAAAATTATTCTAAAATGTTTAAAAGAGTTTGCTCCATAGCCAAATCGTTACATATTAGCAACAAAATTAAGACGGTTAAGAATAAAATTAAAATGACGGGGAGTATAATTAACAGCGAAACCGGTAAAGACTAACATCGTAACTCAAACTACCAATTAAAAATTAACAATGAATTGACTAAATCAAATCAAGAAGTCGCAGCGGTGTTTGAGAAATATTTCACTGATGTTCCTATCTTGACAACAGAGTCATTGAGTACTTCTAAAACTGTCGTAGAGTCATTACTCAAACAGAATGTTAATACCTGTTTATAAGAATTTAAATTTGATAAAGTATTACAAGATGTTGTAAAATATTTCAAAACCCTTGATGTAAAGAAAATTGCAGATTTATGGGGGATTCCCGTTACAGTGATTGCGCCCATAATAGATTTAATTTCACTTCATCTTGCTATTATTTTTACTAGTTGTGTCGAATCTGGTGTATTTCCTGATTTAATGATATATATTGAAGTAATACTTTTATTTAAATCTGGTAGTACAATGGACCCCGCTAATTTGAGACTTATTTCTGTACTACCAGCTATACGTAAAATAATTGTAAAAATAATTTTGCATAAATTGTTAAAATTTTAATACAAATAAATTGCTCCATAAAAATCAATTTGATTTTACAAGGGGTCTGTTGCCAGTGTTGAGCTTATAAAATATATTTAATGCCTGGGAGAATTCACACAGGATGCCGTATGTATTTTTGAGATCATTCCAAGGCTTTCGATTGTGTTCATCATGCGATCATAATTAGAAAACTAGAACATTACGGTGTCAAAAATATTGCGCTTAAGACTTATTATTTCATATTTAAGTAACAGAACTCAAAATGTCGTTATCAATGGTTAGGGTTCCTCCGGATCGGTGGTATCAATAGGCGTTCCTCAGGGTTCGATTCTTGACCCATTCCTATTCTTAATCTATGTTAACAACTTACCTTATCTTATAGGGGACAATCACGATATAGTATTATTTGCTGATGATACCTCTTACCTCTCACCCCTATGATACCTCTTACCCCTTACCTCTGTCGGAATTAGTACATTGGTTTAACGCCAACAATTTGCTCTTAAACGGCAATAAGACTTAAGTATTAAGCTTACAATACCTAATATTAAACATTCGAATATCAATATGCTCTTAAATGGGGAAGAGACGAGTCTTGTGGATACCACTGCATTCCTTGGTATTACTATTGACGCGAAGATTCAATAGGGCCATCATACATCTAAATTAGCAAGCAAACTTAGTTCTGCAGCATATGCTATAAGAACGATTAGAAGTCTCACCAATGTTAAGACAGCTAGGTTCGTCCCAGGACAGAGATATTTTCCCAGTGTAAATAAAAAAAATCAGTCATCAGTGGTATATAAATAATTACTTTCAATATGTAAATATTATGTTATAATCGATATTGAATAAAAAATCATTCATTAATTCATATAATGTTGCTAGTTACGATACTTCTTGCATGCAACAATCCCAAAACCCACAACAATCTTCATCAAATTGAATATGACAGTAAAACCATAGACAAAACAAAAGTATTCATTTGCTTTGTCCGTGTATTTGTGTGCAATGTTTTTAAAGTATTAATCATATCTTGTATGTGGAGGTTCTTCGAAACGAAGGCAACAATGGGTCAGCTTCTTACAATTTGTGTAGCAAATTGTACAATGTCCGGTAGTAAAATTTGGCCACTCATCTTAAAACTAAGCATCATTTTGCTTATTTGCAAATGATATAAATACAGAGTTCATCAAAAACTACTAAATCATGCAAAAAATGAAGAAATATCGATATATCGATAGTTACGGATACTGTTAAAAATATCGATACGATAAATATCGATATATTTTTTCCACTTGTCAACCCTACTTTAAATAAAGGTGTGATTTTACTGCATTTCATTAACTCGGGAAACACACCAGTTTTGATACTAGTATTAAAAATAGTATCAAGTTGGGTTGTAGCACGAATGGGTCGGCTCGCACGGGGAACGACCACACTCTCATAGAATACTAGCGTAAAATAGCAGGTTAATTTTGTTGTAAGTGCAGAGAACCGGAGACTTATTTTATTAGAAACGAGGCATTCCATTTTAGTTCTCAGGGGTGCAAACGCACCTGCATTTTGATTCTTATTTGAGAATAGATATAGATGGGCCACATCATCCACATACTCTCAGGTTGACTGTTTGTCAACCTTATTCTAAAAGAAAGAAAAAGTTTATAGTATTAGTAGTATTTTTTTATATTAAAAAAAATTCTATTATGGTGTTTACAAGCCTTATTATTCATGGCACACTTTATTTTATATTTACTTACCTCAAAAGCTCCTGGTCTAAGTTTATCCGTTCCAAAAACATATCTTGTAACATATGCCATCATTAGGGGGACTGAAATTAAGAAAAAATATACGACTTAGGTGAGTTTTCTCTTAATAAATGTCTATTTGTAACGGTAGAGTTCAAATAAAGTATTATTTTTATTCAAGTATTTTTGAATGGTTTGTAATTTTTTTTAATTATTATTAACTTAATAGCTATGATATTTGGTACGCGTATGTGTGGTGTGTGCGGCGTGTGTACGTGCATGCGTTTGGGTGTGCGTGTGTGTGTGTGTGTATGTGTGTGCGGAGTGTGTATGTGCGCACAGGTGTGTGGCGTGCGTGTGAACCAGTGCATGAATCATGTGTGCGTGTGTGGTGTACGTGTGCGTACTGACCGGAGACCACGTCGACCCACTGCGTGTCGGCGGGCGGCGCGTGCGGCGCGTGCGGCGCGTGCGGCGTGCGCGGGGAGGGCGCGCCGAGCGCGGCGGCGGACGGCGGCCGGCTGCCGTCCTCCGCGCCGCTCCACGCGCTCTTCACATGAGATACACTGATCACATACCACGCTCACTAGTCCCCACCCGTCGAATTACATTCTCATACCCAATCAAACTTAAGACAGAGTGTTGCTTACATTTCAAATGACGAAAAAACCAAACCAAAAACAAAGCTTGCAACTTATTGTTAAAACAGGCAACCAACGACATGGTTTTAGATGCATATGTGGATACACAGTAAACTATTACGACCTAATAAAAAAAAAGAAGAAACATGTATATGTGGATTGCATGTCAATTAATTGGAGTATGATTACGACATCGCTCCGTCTAACTTTCTTTATTAATCTGAGATTATTCATACATCATTACTATTACACTAACTTCCTTCGATGATATTAATGTTGTTATTAATTCTTGCTTATCAGATGTTATTTATCACTATACTAATTTGGCAATTAACAATAAAGTAACTAATAAATTTCATAATCATCATCATCATTACAGCCCTTCACAAGTCCACTGCTGAACATAGGCCTCCCCCAAGGAATGCCACAAAGCACGGTGCTGAGCCACCTACATCCATCGACTTCCTGCATATCTTACCAGGTAGTTACTCCATCTAGTGGGGGGACGCCGTACACTTCGTCCGCCGATACGAGGCCGCCACTCGAGAACCTTTTTCACCATGGGTTGTCGGTTCTCCGAGCTATATGGCCGGCCCATTGCCACTACAGCTTACTAATCCGTTGGGCTATGTCGGTCACTCTGCTTCTACTGCGGATATCCTCATTTCTAAATTTATCACGCAGAGAAACTCCAAACATAGCCCTCTCCATGGCTCGCTGAACGACCTTGAGCTTCCTCATCCGGCCAGCAGTGAAGGACCACGTCTCAGTACCATAAGTCATCACTGGCAGAACGCACTGGTTGTACAGTCTCGTTTTCAAGTTTTGAGGTATTCCTGACGAGAAGATGTGAAGTAATTTCCCGAACGCTGCCCAACCGAGTTGAATCCGTCGATTGACCTCTCGGTCGAAGTTGAACTTACCTAGTCGGACTATTTGTCCCAGGTAAACATACTCGTCAATAACTTCGAGCTTAGTGCTCCCAACAACTACCGGCATAGGTGTGACATGGACATTAAACATGATCTTTGTTTTGTCCATGTTCATCTTAAGACCTATCCGTTGGGAAACACTATTGATGTCATTGAGCATAGTGCTTAGGTCCTCCAGCGATTCTGCCATAAGGACTATATCGTAGGTAAATCGAAGGTGAGTGATGTACTCGTCATTGATGTTAATACCGTATCGTTTCCAGTTCAGAAGCTTGAAAACGTCTTCCAATATAGCGGTGAAGAGTTTCGGAGATATAACGTCACCCTGTCTTACACCTCTCTGCAATTGGATAGGTTTCGTACTCTGGTTCTGTACTCGGATAGATATCGTAGCCCTACTATACAAGCACTTTAGCACTTCGATATACCGACAGTCAACTTGGCACCGCTGAAGGGACTGCAGCACCGCCCAAATTTCGACGGAATCAAAGCCTTTCTCATAGTCCACATACGCCTGGCATAGTGGCAAATTGTACTCCTCGGACTTCTGTACAATTTGCCGAAGGGTATGTATGTTTTTGGAAACCGGCTTGTTCGGGAGGCTGGAAGTCGTCATGTCTGCGCGCGAGACGATTCGTAATGACTCTCGAAAACAGCACGTAGACGCGACTCAAGGGAAATCGGTCTGTAATTCTTCAAGAGAGCGTTGTCACCTTTTTTGAAGAATAAGATCACCGCACTTCTGCTCCACGCCTCCAGTGTAGTGCCACCATGGAGGACGGAATTAAAGAGCTTCTTAAGGACTTTAAGTACCGGTTTTCCACCCGCTTTCAGAATCTCCGCTGTAATTCCATCCTCGCCTGGGGCCTTGCCGTTTTTAAGGTGCTGGAGAGCCATTCTCATCTCGCACAGACTGACGTCCGGTATATCATCGGAATAGTGTCGGATAAGACTCGCTCTTGGATCGTTACTCACACTTAAGTGTGGCTCCAATGATGATGTGTACAGCTGCCCATAGAACCTCTCAATTTCACTCAAAATCTCAGGTGTCCCGGAAACGACGCTGCCACACTCGGTCTTCAGCTTCGACAGTTGGCTCTTTCTGGCAGACAGATCTCTAGCAAAGACTTTGGGAGTCCTGATTCCGGTCGATCGCTTCTTTAATACGAGCAGAATTAAAGTTGCGTAAGTCCCGCCGCATGCATTTGGAGATCTGTCTGTTCAGTTGCCTGTATGCTGTCAAATCTACTGAAGACTGCAGCTTCAAATCCCGTCTAACAGCCATGAGATTAAGAGTGTGATAGGAGAGTTTTTGTGTTCTTCTAGGGCGGGCCTTGCAAAACTTAGCTCCGACCGCATGGACAGTTTCCACGAGCTTGTCATTCATATGTCCACTGCATTGCAATCTTCTAGGCACTCAAAACGGTTTCGTAGCTCGAGCTGAAAGGTTTCGGGACTTTGGATTAGAGCAAGAGGGGACGGAGCGTTGACTTCATTAGACGTGACCTCTCCAACTTAACGTTCAGTGTGCCTCTCACCATTCGGTGATCGCTGCCGGTTTTCACCCTCGCGATCACTGAGATATCACTGAACAGTTGTCGTCTGGTCGTCATAATGAAGTCAATCTCATTTTTTGTCAAACCGTCGGGGCTCGACCAGGTCCACTTCCTGTGAGGCCGCTTCTGGAAGAAAGAGTTCATCATAAAGAGTCCCTGTTTCTCCATGAAGTTGGCCAGCTGCTGGCCCCTTGGGTTCCGTTGCCCTATTCCGAATTTCCCTACTTTCAGCTCACCGTTTTCTCTTGTGCCTAGTTTTGTGTTGAAGTCTCCCATTAACACCGTATAGTGGGTTTTGGAGGAATGCATGGCTCTAGAGATATCCTCATACATTTCCTCCACCTCCACATCGGGGTGTACCGAGGTTGGTGCGTAAACCTGTATAACCTTCAGCGTATACCGTTTGGTGATTCTGAGTATAAGGTACGCAACCCTCGTCGACACACTCCCAATCTTTACAACGTTGTTAACGAGAGACTTGTGGACGATAAATCCGACACCTTGGGACAGATGGTCGCCCTCCCGGTGATAGAACAAATTGCCGGATTCAAGGATTACCGTGTCCTCCCCCTCTCTTCGGACTTCGGATAATCCTATGACATTTCAGCGCAACTTGTCTATCTCTTCTTCCAGCTCCAGGATCTTCTCGTCAGTCCTCAGGGTGCGTGCGTTATAAGTTGCCAGGTCGAGTCGTCGTAGGTGGCAACCGAACTTCCACCGGAGATTCTTAGCATCCCCTGCCCCGCCGTTATCATGGTCGCCACCGTAGCCAGGAATATCGGGGCCGCCGAGGACTGGGGGCCGTCTCTTTGTTACATTCATTCATAGAGGGGTATATTGCCATAGTTGCCACGCTTGGCGAGCGGGTTGGAAACCGTAGTTTTTTTATTGTTGTTTTGCTGTTATCATAAAGGTGCTGCTGCCTATCCTCTGCCTCAGTTTCCCTCTGTCGCCTTTTACGACACCCACGGGAAGATATGGGGTAGTGAGTATTCTTACCCGCGACTACACGGGTGATACTACACTACTAAATTTACTACTTACTAATTTATTATCGCCTCTATCATCATCAACCCATCACCTTTATCACTGACTTTTCATACTTATCGACTATATTTGGTAAATGTAGCACCAACACACTTCATCGCTCACACCATGTTTATGGTAAACTAAGAAAAGCCTAAGGTCAACAGTAAGCTAACAGCCATACTGATGATTTACAGTGAAATCTCGATAACTTGGACCTCATTAAGACATAATCCTCAGTAAGATGAAAAAATTGCCATTCCCTACTGCTGAACCCCTAAAATACGCAGTATCTCGAATTATTTAGACTTTGTAACTCGAACAAAATGTTATTTCGCTACGAACTATTGATAGTACATATTAATACTATATAACTCGAATTTCAAAAAAAAGACTACGTAAGTCGAAGTTAGTAAAAAGGTACCTAATGACGTCTTACATGGAATTTTTAAAATCGAAAAAGAATGTTTGTTGCTCCTGTTCTATTGTGTCCATTTTGTACACTTGCAATAAATGAATACATTTAATAAACTTTCGAAAAAAACTCAAACCTTATGTTTGTTTATGTTTGTGAAAAAAATCTAGAAATTCTTGTTAAGTTGAAAAGTCTATTGAGTTTTCAACTTAACAAGAATTTATATCATTTCGAAACATTTTCCTCGGAATTCAAGTTTATCGAGATATCACTGTATTATTATTATGATAAAAGATATTTGGCCATGGTATGAAAAGAGGAGATCTCCCAACGGGCAAAGTGATCAGCCCAGGGAGAGGCAAACGCTCTATGTGCTAGTCTGAGCTATTCTATATATACCACAGTATTTCGGAAATTTGATAGCGCGATTTAGGCTTCGGTGCGTTTTCGCATGTGGTGCGACGACAGCATCGCCGCAGCTATTTACCTGCCAGCCGGAGTCAGTGTCATTCCTCTCAGAGTTGCAGTTGTCATCTAGAGTCCTATTGTGAAGTGAGGGGTGCTCATCGCCCGTGCTGCTGTCCGTATCCGAAGCACCGTCCGCTGAAAATTCCACCCTTGTTCACTATTCACACAACGACATTAGCTTAATGGCAGGCAGCAGACCGAAAATTCAAAAAGTCGTTCGTGGATTTGGAACCGCCATTCAACTACCGTCGTAAACCACGCCTAATACAAGCGTTTTATGCTTACCAGAAGTGGTTAAAAGGAATATTAGTAATATTAATAGAATGCCTAGTTTTTTTTTTTCAATTCGTGAAAGGTCACGCACTTTGATTATAAAAGTAAAATAAAATAAATATATACTAACAAAATTATCATCATACACTAGACCCTCTTTACAGGAAACGAAGTCTTCCATCTTAGTCCTCAGGGGTGACAACGCATCTTCATTTTGATTCTTAATAGAAAATAGATGTAGATGTGGCTATGGGCAACAGCATCCACTTACCGTCAGTGGGCTGGCTGCTCATTTGTCACCCTTATTCTATAAAAAAAATAACCAAAACACTTACCATGCTTCTGCAAGAAGGGCGTTGCAGCCCGGTAATGCTTTACGGTAAGCACCACGATGTCCCCTGCATTGCGCAGGATATTCACCGCATCATCATGATTGCACGCGGTGATGTACTCTCCGTTCACTGCGAACAGGTAAGGACCTCTTTCAGTAGTGTTGTGTAGTTTTGTGATTTTTTTCCTTAAGTAGTTTTCAGAGACAACAGAGGGGAAACAACTTTTTTATTGATATTTACTTTTTTTATGATGTTATATAACTCTGTGGCAGAATCTTATATACAGTATGGTTTAGGTAGCTATGGTCGTACATTTAATACTTATTTAAACAAAATATATAACCTCCAGATAAGAATCCTTAAAAACATTGTAACAGACAAGATTCGACGTCAATTTCATGATGACGATAGTATGCACTTTAAGCACTGCAATATACTACCAGTTCATACACAAGTCAAATATTTACTTTTAAAAAAACACTTTTTTAATGAAGAGTTAAAATTAGAAATTAAGCACCCCGTGTGTACGCGCGCCGTAAGCAGCCGCAAGCTGCAGACGAGCTAGGCAAACAATATGTACGGGGAACGAACGCCAAGTTACTCAGGTCCTAATTAGAATGTAATGTTTCCCTTTTACAAACTATATTAATTATACTTAATGTAACGTCGACTCTGGTCGCGTCATCACAAACCTTAGTGGTTTTCTGTATGCGAGTTTTTAGTATAGTTTTTTTTTTTTGTAATGCTTTGTAATATGGTAAATAAATTAATAAATAATATATTATTATTAATTTAGGCTTACTCTTGGACCTCCATCTGGCATTCCACTCCTTGGCTGTGCGCATTATGAAACATGACTAATAACGCTTAGTGTGAATATTCGAAATATCATTCAAGTGTGGATGGTAACCTGCAGTAGGTCTAGTATTCCGATAGGAGAATGGAGACGGCGGTATGAGATTATGACGCTCATGGGCACACTCTCCGAAGTACAATCTGTAGAAGACCGACAAACAAGCAACTAAGCGGCGGTGAGCTAAGCTGTGAAGCTTAGTTTCCACCAGCTTTTTGTCGCCGATAAGCCTCTTGGCTCTGCGTTGCACTGAGTCGAATGCGACAAGTTGATAATTTGCTGAGCCATCCCAAAGGTGACTACAATACTCCATGCATGTTCGGACTTGAGCTTTGTATAAAGATAGAAGCTGTCCAGGCATGAAGTATCGCTTCACTTTGTTTAAAGTACCCAGTTGTTTGGCCGCAGTTTGTGCTTTCGACTCAATAATAATAATAATTATTATTATTTTATTTCAGACCTTGATCCATAATTTGTTAATAATACATTGCGTACCTTAAATACTAATGTTAGTTCCAGTGACTTAGCATAAACCAGTAACATCGGTCCGCGAACATGTTCAGAAAACCGTTGCGGCCGCCACGCATTCTACTCAACAGGGAGTACACTCGTTTACGCATTATTGCAAAGAAGTCATCTGTGCTTGCTTCTGCGAACATATCTGTTTCTTATAAATATATGCACTGTGGGCACAGCGGTGACACACTCTGTACGTGAGAGTTCAAGCGGCGGTGACATTAAGCCGGAGCGTGTAACGCTAGGGTTGATACCGAACCGAAATCGAATATTATAGACTTGCGCCAAAGAAGATACATAGTAGGTATATGTTATATAATGAAAACTTATGTATTTAGGTAGTGAAAGATACGATCAATTTTAAATCAACTTTTATTAAATATCTTCACTGATGGGGAAAATTAAAATTTTCGACAAAACAAAATATGCACGACAGTTAATGGTAATCTTAAATAATTAACCAACACTTAGTATTTCAGTACGCAATAATCAGTATTACCTACTACCCTTTAAAAATTACTTACTCTTATATATTTTTGGCTTTTTCAATGACTTTTATAATTTTTATTATTTCTAACAATTACAAAAATTCGTAGCCGTAATTGTATATTTTTTTTAGAAAATCCATAAGGAAACATAGATAGATAGATAACACTTTATTGTACGCTAAATAATAACATAAATATTAACAAAAAATGAGAAACATAAATGTGGTACAATGGGTGGTGTTATCGCTAAGAGCGATCTCTTCCAGACAACCTTTGGATGGACAGTATGGCGCGTGAGATTAGAGAGACGAGACGGCGACGGCCCGTTCCACGCCCCGCGCGCCTCTTAAGGTCCCCGCACACATCCAGGCACCCACACATAGCCGCTAGCGATTTTACGTACACACATGCTTAAGTGTTGTTTCTTTTCGCGTAGTGTATATTTTCTTTGCTGTGGGTGCGATGTCCCTTTATTTTTTCCAAGCTTGGCTGACATACCGCCGTGTCTCTAGATAACTAGAGTATCGTCTAAACAGTTACATTAAAAACTTACTCTCATTTTTCAACCCTTGGAACTGAATGATTTCTTTATATTTAAACACGACCACCCTTGAGGTATTCACTAAGAAAAGAATCATTAAAAGCGGTTCACAACTGATGAAGATATCGCGTAACATTCATACAAATAAAAGCGGCCAAGTGCAAGTCTGACTCGCCCATGAAGGGTTCCGTAGCAGCAAGTAACATAATATAAAAGTTCTTGTAGTTCGTTGTAACTTTGATCGATGTTTTAATAATAGTGTATTTTTTTATTTTTATATTTGAGTTGATTGAATGAAAGGTAAATTGCGGTTTACGATTTATGACGTATTAAAAAAAACTACTAACTAGATCTCGTTGCAACCAATTTTCGGTGGAAGTTTACATGGTAATATACATCATATATTTATTTTAGGATATGATATTAGAAACCTCAATATCATTTTGAAGACCTATCCATAGATACCCCACATGTATGGTTTTAAATAAAAAAAAATTGAGTTTCAGTTCTAAGCATGGGGAACCCCCAAAATTTATTGGTTTTTTTTTCTATTTTTGTGTGAAAATTTTAATGCGGTTCACAGAATACATCTACATACCAAGTTTCAACAGCATAGTTCTAATAATTTCGTAAAAAAGTTTCTGTGACATACGGACGGACAGACAGACAGACATGACGAACTCATAAAGGTTCCGTTTTTTGCCATTTAGCTACGGAACCTTAAAAAACTGTCCAATTGAGAACTTCCTTGTATATATTAATGATTTCTTTTATTTACACGGATACTACACATTATATGAAATAAATTTTACGGATTTTATCGCGTTTAATTTTATTTATTTAAAAATCTTTATTACACTTAAGATGTACAATTGGCGGACTTAATGCCTTTAGGCATTCTCTACCAGTCAACCACGAGCTAAGCAGAGAAGCTTAAGCAGGTGCCATAAAAACTTGAGAACATATACGTGAATGTAAATATAAACATATACATACTATACTTGTAAATAAAAAAAATATATATATATAACTAAAGATAACATAAATTTAATTTTTTATCTTTAATTTATCCTCCTTGTGTTAGCTGTTGTAACTCAGGTGCTAAGCGGTCACTGTAGATTTCACTCTCGGCACCAATGAAATTATTAATTACAATTTTAAGTGCTGATTTGCCACGTGCTCGGCGGTGAAGGAAAATATCGTGAGGAAACCGGCACGTCTTATAAATAAGAAAAAAATATTTCGAAGACATGTAAAGTACGCCAATACGCATTGGGGCAGCGCGGCGAACATTTCCTTGCCCTAAAAAGCTCTCAGAAATGAGAGGAGGCATGTGCCCAGCAGTGGGACGTATATAGGTTGTAACTTTGACTTTAAATTGAACCTCCTTGTTTTATAGAAGGCAGCTGACAAGTAAACAAATTTAAAATTTACACAAATACATTTATCGTTGTACGCTGTGTAATGTAACTCAGGAACCAATGTTTTTTGTTTCAATGTGAAATCTCAAACGATTTATAAGATTTGAATGTGATTTTTTATACGTGGTAGAGCCATGCTGCATCTATATTATGGTTGTAGCACGAATAAGTCAGCTCGACCGGGGAAGGAACACGCTCTCACAGAATACCAGCGTAAAATAGCAGCTTAACGCTGCTGTGTTTCGTATGGTGAGTGTAGAGAACCGGAGACCCTTTTTACTGGAAACGAGGCATTCCATCTTAGTCCTCACGGGTGACAACGCATCTGCATTTTGACTCTTAATCGAAGATAGATGTAGATGTCTATGGGCCACAGCGACCACTTACCATCAGGTGGACTGTGTGCTCGTTTGTCACCCTTATCCTATAAAAAAAAATTGTTTGTCCGTAGACGACGTCCTGACCACAGCTAGTTTTTATAGGTAAATATACAATTTTCTTAATATCATTAGTGCATGCATGCTGCAAACGAGCGTGTATTCTATTAAAGTTAATATTTGTAAACTAGCTGTTCCACGCGACTTTACCTGCGTGGAATTTATTGCGATTAGATTTAATGGGTTTTTTTTTTTGCTCAAAACCCTAATTATTTTCCTAAAATAAAAGTAATCTAAGTTACTCCTTATAACGTCAGCTATCTGCCAGTGAAATTCCCATCCAAATCGGTTCACAGGTTTTTGCGTGATGCGTGTTCAGACAGATGTCGTGTTAAGAGTTATTAATAGTATATATGGAAGATGATGTAAACACTGCAGACCATTAACACGTGTAGCGAACTACCAAATGCAGTAATGTAGTATGTTGTTAGTGGTGACCTGAATAACAGGGTAAGAAATTGTGTGATAAGAGAAGTGTGGTTTGCAAGAAAATGTTGCGACCAGAATTAAAAAAGGAATACTTTCGTCATGTAGAAAGAACGAATAAGAGTGACAAATCAAATTGATGTTGCACAAGTAAATGGCAAAGTTGGCAAGACTAAATTGGCGATATATTGAAGATGGGCCAAGTTCAGAGTACTTTTAACCGACGAGCATGTATGCAAAGCTATATGGATATGAAGGTGGCGAGAGGAATGTGTCAGGATCGTGTCAAATGAAGTCCTAACAAACTACGAACAAAGAATGTAACATGTAATCATGTAACCAATAAAATATACGACTTCTCAATACAAACCAAATTTGCGATTTTATATTCAAATGGGCCAAGTTTGGGCCAAAAATTCGGAAGTTCTTTGGCAATTATAGTGTGGTGATAATCACCCAAAACTAAAAGAAATGGCTTTGAAACACTGAATACTTTTTGTATCAGCATATACCTAATTGTGAAGAAGCGTTTTCTAAGATGAACTTGAACATCAAAAATAAATTTCGTTCTCGTCTTACCGATGACCACCTCCAGGATTTAATGGCAATAGCTTGCACCAACTTAATTCCAGACTTCAGACAGATTGTTCAGATTAAAAAATGCTATTTTTCGCCTTAATATTGGGTACTACTTACTTTGTTATTTTTTAATTAAATGTATCCTTAATAAAAATATTATGATTTCTCTTCGTTGTTAATTGTTAATTGACATTTTAAATCTCGGTTGCTAGTCGTCATCTAGCAAACGGACCGCGACCGATATAGTTTTTTTTACTCGGACCCGCAATTCAACTAATTGCTAATTGGTGATCCCTACTTCAGAGCTTCAGAGCATTGATAATTATGACCATTAATCCATCACAGCCTATTAGAATTCACTGCTAAGCATAGGCCTCCACTTAGATAGTCTCATAAGAGGGATATTTGCCATAGTTAGCACGCTTGGCAAGCGGTTTGGCAACCGCATTCTTACACCGCCGCTACACAGTATATTTGATATGTGTCACTCTAAAAATATAAAAAATATATTTTTAGAGTGATAGTTACTGAAACTATAAATTACTATAGACTGGATTGCACGTGTCGTCAGATTTGTTTGTATTTATAAGGAAATTATTTTTCTTATAAAAAGGAACAGAAAATTCGTGTGAAAGTGCGTTAAATTAGAAAAAGGCACAACAAAAACTTAATGAATAAATAACAATAAAGAAAACGTGGTGAAGCGCTTTAAGAAGTTTAATTTACTCCGACCTATCACACAATGGCGTGCGAATACATTTACGCAAGTTTAATTTAAATAAAAAAAATCATTTTAAACAAAGAACTGCGGTAATTTCATTATGTAATGCCCTGCGATATTAGTAAACATTATTTACGGTTGTAGATTCATTAATGAGATTTTTTAAATACAAATTATGATGGTTTTAATTATTTGTAAAATCCTTTTTTCGATCTCGTGATCAATGGATTAATGTAAAAATTATAAATGCTAACATCTTAATGTGGAAACGAGGCATTCCATCTTAATCCTCAGCGGTGACAATGCATTTGCATTTTGATTCTAAATCGACGATAGATGTAGATGCCTATGGGCCACAGCATCCATTACCATCAGGACTGTATGCTCGTTTGTCACGCCTAATTGTATTAAAAAATAATATTGCCAGTAAACTTCCAATAGTACCTATAATTACCAAATTCCCAATCGAAAGTTGTGTTCGATTCTTAAATTTCAAATTTCAACTTTTCCTTAATAAAGAAAATTTTTATTATTATTATTAACGGTAGAGTGATAAGTGAGATCTACCTCATGGTAGATTCAGGCAATGGTCCCACATCTGAGGACTAAGATAGAGAATCTATTTTCTTGTTTCGTTCCATGCATGTACACTGGGAGTCAAATTTAGAAAATTTCAAAGAGAAAATTCTCAAAAATCTTATAGGAACCACTGTGAAAACCTATTTTATAAAAGGACGCAGCAAAATGGAAGTTCTTTAAATAGAAGGCACAATCTATACAAATAAATAAAATTAAAGTGTCTGTTTGTAATGTCAAAATTACATTTTTTTACTAAATGCATATGAAAGTAAATACGATACCTATAACTAAAATGCAATTTTTAAAATTTTTGTCTGTCTGTCTGTCTGTCTGTCTGTTTGTTCCGGGTAATCTCCGAAACGGCTGGACCGATTTTGACGGGACTTTCACTGGCAGATAGCTGATTTTATAAGGAGTAACATAGGCTACTTTTATTTTAGAAAAAGAATCAGGGTTCCGCGCGGAAACATAAAAACCCTAACACGCGAACGAAGTCGCGGGGAACAGCTAGTTGTAAAATAAACCTAATAAATAACAATAAAGCAACTCTGTGATGAAGCGCTCAAAGCATTTTAATTCACACCGATCACACAATGGCGTGCGAATACACTGACGCAAATTTAATTTCAACATAAAACTTAATTTTAAACAAAGAACTGAGCTCTGCGGTAATTTTGATATATCTTTTTAAGACCATTGTTTACCCTAGAAAACATATTTATTGTATAAAAAAATAAAAATGAAGTATAACAAAGGTAATTCCGCTTACACGGCTAAGTTTGTTAGTAAGTAGGTTAACTAGGCCTCATGAAATCTGATATTCCATTGTGTGCTATAAGTCCAATGCATACTAGAGTACAAGTAAATTAGCTATCCGAGAATATTTATTAGAGTACAGTAGGCAGTCAGAGAGATTATACTGTGGCGGCGCTGTCGTCGCGCCACAAGCTAAAATACATCGAAGCCTAAATCGCGCTATAAAAGTTCCGAAATAAAAAGCAGTATATGTAGATTAGCTCCGAACTACCACTCGAAGCAACGAAGGCTAAATCGCGCTATCAAAGTTCCGAAGTAAAAAGCAGTATATGTGGATTAGCTCCGAACTACCACTCGGAGCGTTGGCCGCTCCCCGGGCAGAACACCTTGCCCGGCGAGAGATCTCCCATTTTCCTTCCGCGGCCAAACTGGTGACCTCAACGTGATCTGAACACGTAACGAACAACCTTCGGAGACTAAAACTTCAAACCTTCGTCATCGTCCCCATACCCATACCCCATTCATTCGCTCCCGAGCAGACATTGTCTGCAGTCTTCACATTCTGCAATCCATCTAGCTTTACAAAGGTTCATCGCAGCACTGGAATAATGTTTCCTGTTCCTTAAAGCTACTCTCTGCGCTACAGTGTTCGACACGGCTCTGAGCCTTACTGCTCAACTTTTCACGGCACTCTCGCAGATTACTTGCCTTCTCCTCGACTCACCACAGACTACAAGGCAATTCCCTGGCACTTCCACATTCGTCGACATCTAGACTGCACCATCGACCTCCGGTCTGAGCAGGGGGTGATGTGGCAGCGCTGTCGTCGCGCCACAAGCGAAAATACATCGACGTCTTAATCGCGCTATCAAAATTCCAAACTCGGAGCGTTAGCCGCTCCCCGGGCAAAACACTTTGCCCGGCGGGAGATCTCCCCTTTTCTTTCCACGGCCAAAATATAAGGCTTTATGGTGTGTGATTCAATTTACATCGTTTTTGCTGACCGATCGACTCTTACGAATGTGTGCGAGCGTATTAAAATAATGCATTATCGCGCATTTTGAATTGAAAAGGTAAAAAGGACAGAATGTTTACGATTTTTGAAGTTATACTTCTTTTGGGGCGTTTGGAAAAAATGATAATAGAGAATTTTTACGATATGCGAACACACCGACACCTAAAAACGACACCACGAAGTTGTTACGATATATATATATATATATATATACTTCTGCCGACAAATAGCAATACTTGCCTACTGTGTTCCGCTCTGAATGGTATAGAACCAGTATGAATACAGGCCGTGATGCACATCTTAATGCACAGAGAATACGACGCATCAGTAGCCTCCTTTTTCAATTTTGGCTGCTGTTGTCTATGGACTGTAGTAGTCATCAGGTGTACTGAAAGTTCGTTTGTCGCTTCAGTTTTATAAAAAAAAAAACAATGGGAGAGTTCCAGCAACGAACCGACCTGATGACGTTTTTAAAAAAAGTCACCTCCACACTAGAATTTTTCCTGTATCGTGGGGGCAGTTTCATCATCATTGTCATCCATACAGCGCCACGGAGCCGTCGTAACTCACTGTCATCCTAAAAATTTTAAAAATCAAAACTTACCTTTTATAACGGCATCTCCCACGAACAACTGGCCGGTCTGGTCCGCCGCCTGGTCCTTGTATATCTTCGATATGAGGATCGGCAGCTTGTGCTCCGCGCCGCCTTTTATGCTGAGCCCTAGACCGCCGACTTTCTGCCGGGTGATCTGTACCATACGCTCCTGTAGGAACAAAGCCCATTATTAATACCACTGGTACTAATGGTATTTTTGGCAGTAAATGTGACTATTATTATGCATACATATTCATAACGTAGATATTGATTTATTTCATTCTTTCATTCTCCAACTTTGGCGTTCACTTTCTAATAACTTTTTTTCTTTTTGATAATGTTCTTTATATTTTAGTGTATTATTTGCCCTATACTCGTATATCTCTTCTGACATACTTTCTTGTTATATTGAGTGTTCTAAAAGTGGAAAACTTCTAAATGACCTTCATTTTTGCTATAATCATATTATTTTTGTAAATTAACTGTAAGTTTTCAAAGTAAATAAAAATTAAATAAATAAAATTACGCGCCACTTTTTTACCGACTTCAAAAAGGAGGAGGTATTCAATTCGACTGTATGTTTTTTTTATATGTCATAAGTTTTTACTGGGTGAACCGATTTCGATAATTCTTTTTTATTTGAAAGCTGGTGCTTCTCTTGTGGTCCCACATAAATTTGATCAAGGTCTGACCAATAGTTTTTGAGTTATTCTTAATAATTTATATGAAAGTCGGTTATACAAAATGTATAATTTTAAATTATATTGTACCTACGTATTAGCATCGTTTAACTGCAAGTTTTTTAAAAAAATTAATGAGATTAATTAAAATTAAAAAAGCTACATTCTTTTTTATATATTAACAACTATTAATTTTATATAATAACAACATAAAATAATTTGTCATATCATCCTCTGCCCGGCTAGCATGGGCGGGGGACAATTTTATCCCCGGGGAAAGGAGAAAATGTTTATCCCCTCACTGAGTTTTATCCGCCCTTAGAGCATGGGCACACCAGTGGATATAATATCCACAGTAGATAAATTGGGAGATAGACTTAGACTTAAATAGATTTTTTTGTATGAATATAAACTTCAACCCACGTCCAATGAACTAGGATAAAATTGTTCCTTTCAAATGTCAAAAAAGCATAATATTTTATCTTTCATTTGTCTCCATGCTACGGACGGGGGATATATGTCTACTCGTTATGTCAAACGGGGATATACTTCTCACCGTTTGACATAACAAGATAATTTTATCTCCTGTCAGTGGATATAATCGGGGGATAAAATTTTTGTCCCCCGCCCATGCTAGCCGGGCTGAAGTCGAGATTTTAATTCTTCGATACTTTAATGCCCAAATACTCAATCGCCACTCAATTTTAAGACGCCGTCGAGTCTCGTGCTGCCTCTATCACCAAGTCAAAGTGACTGAGACACCACGAGACTTAACGGAGTTTTAAAATTGAGTAACGTTTGAGTTTTGGGCATAATTCTTACAGCTTGAGTGGACTATGGAATATCACAAGTTCAAAATAACAATTATAACGTCGTCTAAATAGTTACATTAAAAACTTCACACCCTATTTTTCCACTCCTAAAGGAGAATTTTTTTCCCATAAATTAATACTGTATACCTAAACTATTTCACATAATCATTAAAATCCATTCAGCTGTTTCTGAGTAAATGGCGATCATACATAAATAAATATACGCGTCGAATAAAGAACCTTGTCTTATTAAAATATTTTAGATCGTTATTAGAATGCATTATCTAGAGCTCGGTACGGGCGCGGTCGTGCTTATACACACCCAGGGTTACCATACATTCGGAATTTTCCGGACATTTCAGGAGAATAGATTCTTTGTACGGAATGCAGAGTGAGTGACTGCGATTTTAACATAAACGAAGAAAGAAAAATAATTAATAAAATAAAATAAATGTTTTTAATTAAAACAACGCCGACAATCAACACCAGATAAGCATTCAACACAATTATAATTTCGCAATTCATTATAAACACGCAAGAAATCTTAAACGGATTAGGGTAAGCTGAAGTGGCAATGGGCCGGCCATATAGCTCGAAGAACCGACCACCGATGGAGAAGAAAGGTTCGTCGTACCGGTGGGCGAAGTTTAGGGACGACCTGGTAAGGCATGCAGGAAGTCGATGTATGCAGGTGGCTCAGGTCCGTGCTTTGTTGCATTCCTTGGGGGTATATGTTCAGCAGAGGACTTGTGAAGGGCTGTAATGATGATGATGATGACGAAAGAAATCTGCATGCCGCGAAATTATAAATTTTAAATAAAATACATATGTGAATTTTTCTAAAAATGCCCAGAATTTTCTTCGGATTTTCTTTTCGTTTATCTGGTAACACCACAAACACAAGGCTTTAGGCGACTAATGCTTGATATTAACATAAAAGGTGGTGTGAGTACAGAAACGTGCGGCGCAGAGCAATCGACCTCCTTGTGTATCCAACTTTAGTCCTCTGACACTATGTACACATATGAGAGTGCGTACTGTGTACGGCACAGAGCGGTCAAGATCGTAAACCAAGTTTAAGCAAACTGTCGCTATTATGAAAATAATTATAATTTTAAATTTTGTACAGCCGACTTCAATATAAGTTATTAAGAATGGGACCACACGAGAAGTATTAGCTTTCAATTAAAAAAAGAATCATCGAAATCGGTTCACCCAGTAAAAAGTTATGAGGTAACACATAAAAAAACATACAATCGAATTGAGTACCGTCTCCTTTTTGGAAGTCGGCAGACAAGTGCGTAACCTGGCGTGCAGCACTGACTAATGATATATTAGATTTAAGCAAAAATGACCTTCAATTAGTATTCTTACAATCTAAAATAAAGTGAAGTTACATCGTTTATACGTTCCAGAACTGGGAACATCCCCCCCCCCCCATTATTTTCTGTGAGAGCTTAGGACAAGGATATGTCCGCCGAGCTGCCTCAATGCGTGTTGGCGGTCTTCACGTCTCCGAAATATATTTTTTTTAATTTCTTAGACATGCCGGTTTCTATATCAACAACCTCCCTGTCCGCTAAAGACACAATACCATCATTGTGTAATAATCGAAATGTTTATATATGAACAGTTTATACATAACACGGATATTGAAATGGTTAAATTATTTATTTATTTACACACACACACACACACACACACACACACGCACGCACGCACGCACGCACGCACGCACGCACGCACGCACACACACACACACACACACACACACACACACACACACTTAACAACTAGCCTTACAGGCTAAACAAACCCACTACGATAGTGCTGCTAATATACTTAAATATACTATGTATTACAACTTACTTACATAACTAATTATGTATAAAAGTACCTTAGCGAGTTCACTCAGATTACTCGAATATATGTCAATCCTCTCGTGAACTTTATTCACTACGAGGATTGTTCGGACTGTAGTGTAGGTGAGTTACTAAGCAAATTGGTCCTGGCCAATATATTATATTACTACTACAAGATTACTACGACTGTCTCTTTGGTCTAATGGTCGTAAATGCGACTGATGATCTGGGGTTCGAATCCCGGGTGGGATTACAATCAGTTATTGGGTTATTCTAAGAAATTATCAGTAGTAGCCCGGAGTAAGAAAGTTGACGGTTTTCACTCCCACGCCTCGGAATACACGTAAACCCTGTCCTGCGCTTGATCCCTCTCCGTGACCAAAATTTGGTGTGGAGGACATTATACGTACCCTGGTGTTCGGCACGGTGCGATCTCGCGGCGGCTGAGGTACGGGAGCCTCGCGCTGCACCGTCACCGCTTCCATAGTGAGCACCAGCCGTGCGGGCCGCGGCCGCGACTTGCCATCCGACACCTGTACCATGCCCACGCGGATCTGGAACCGAACCGGCTACCCTAATACTTCCGTGAGAGGTAACTACCTAACTATTATTCCTTTAGAACACTCCAGTTAAGTTTTAAACCCTACCAAATAAATAATCTACGTAAAAATTATGTTTTGGTGTCACATACCCACACGTTCGGGCCCACTGAAATCCAACACTGTTGCTTCGGCAACAGCATAACCTAAGGTCCGTTTGACTAACACGCCACAACGTATACGTGTCAGAGCCACGCTGCAGCTACCACTTACCTGGGCGGTTTGAAATGTTCTCGGCCTAACCGATATTTGAAGGTAGTACCTATGTAAATACTCGTAAATGTATACTCATTCGATAGTTTGGTTCTTTATTTAATCGTATGTCAAGTGCCAGTGTGATAGTTTGTGTAATTTATTTTCTACGAATTTTTGTTGGAGCGAATCAGCTTTTCTGTCGGAAATGGTAAAAAGTGAAATAAGAGCAGTGATTAAATATTTCGTCAAAAAAAATCACGCCAAGCCAAATCAAGGAAGAGATGGATAATACATTAGTTTAATCTGCGCCTTCATATTTCAAAGTGGACAGCTTTATTCATTATTCATTCAAACAAGGCAGGAAAAGCGTCGAAGATGACTCGAGGAGCGGAAGGTCGTCGACGTCAATCACGTCAGAAGCCATCGACGCAATTCACAAACGGAAGATTGAAAGTGTGTGAAGTAAGGGACACTATAGGGATCTCAACTGAGCGGGGTTTTCTAAATTGGACAAACACTTGGCTGGAAGAATGTTTTCCACAAACTAAGAGGTGATAGCTGCGACGGGTAGGTTGTTTGAAGAGTTGAACTAATTGACCTATTTATGGGGCATAAAAGCGCTGAAATAATGTATAAGTGTATAAGGGGAGAATATTATGTAGAAAAATAAAATCATTTTTTTATTTTATTTTTTTTGTTTTCTTAGTCGAGCCGAGAACTTTTCAAATCGCTCTCGTATAATATGGTTGTAGCACGAATGGGTCTCTCATAATACCAGTGTCAAATAGCAGCTTAACACTGCTGTATTTCGTATGGTGAGTGTAGAGAACCGGAGACCCTTTTTACTGGAAATATAATCCTCAGAGATGACAATGCATGTGCATTTTGATTCAAATATAGATGCCTATAGGCCACAACATCCGCTTACAATCAGGTGAACTGTGTGAGCGATTGTCACTCTTCTTTTATAAAAAAAATAGCGTATCAAATCTAAACTTAGATCAATTCTAAATAAGTAACAAAACATACATTAAACATTTAAATTTTCACAAACAACAATTAAAAATAGAGCACTTGGAACAGGCCTACAGATCTAGATAAAGTCAAGGTCACTCGTTTTGAGCTTTTTAACTACGATACTATCCAATTAACTCCATGCTCCAAATTGTTATATATTGTAGACTGTCAACTAACATATTATACTCGTAGTAGACTACCTCGTTGAACTAGTGGTCGTAAACATAACTGCTGATCATGCAGTTCGGGTTCGAATCCCGGGTCGGATTAAATCAGTTATTCGGTTACTCTAACAAGAAATTATCAGTGGCAGACTGAGTCGGCATCCCATCGGAATGTGATGTCGGAAGAATAGAGAGTGCATCCGTGTTTGCGCATACACTCGGAATCTTGTTCTGCGTTTTCCAGTTTCCATTGAGACTGAACATTATTACCAAAATTCAGTCTGTAGGACATTATTATTACACATTATTATAATTGGGAAACCTGACGTAGCTGAATTGTTATAGTATTCTTGTCTACATAGTACAAAATAAAGTTGATTCCCACGGTCTGTACGCTTAGGTCCTTTAAACTACGCAACGGAATTTGATGCGGATTTCATCAATAGATAGAATTATTCAAGAGGAAAGTTTATATGCATAATACATGCATATTATTATATTATATAATAATCTACTCTCCGTGTGTATGTGACTGAACTCCTAAACTGCTGGACCCATTTAAACTGCATTTTTCGACCGGCTGGTGTGATTGAGTTGATTAGAGAATGGTTTAAGTTGTTGTCGATATCCAGAAATCAACCGTGCGAAGCCGGCGCGAATCGCTAGTATTAAATATATTCATGTATCGACGACAACTTATACATTCCGTTTCTATCCTTTGCAAAATGACACCAATTGTAATTTCTAGGTCTTGAGTGTTGCGGAAGAAAATTTCAATCGAGATCTCAGCAATTAGTCAAGAATATCCTCTATGAACGAATATAACAAGTGCACATTAAAGATATGAAAAATAATTAACCTATGTAAAAATAAAGATAAAAATAAAAATCTTCCCTCCCACAATTGTGTACACCATCATCACTAATCCCAACACCATTACCACTAACACCACTAAATTAGGCAAGGCAGTGTGTCTTCCTAGTGTCGATAATGCAACACGTGTTTCTCCTCCAAATGAGTAATGAAAAGTGGCATTTGTGTGGAACTTCTATGTGAGTTTTTGTTATCAACCAAATTGGTGATATATTTAAGATGGGCTATAGTTAAAGTACCCTTATCTGACAAGTATGCATTGGTATATGTATGTGAAGTAGGCAAGAGAGATGTATGAGGATTGTGCCAATGAAAAGTCCATAGTCTCTGCCTATCCCTCTGAGGTCTGAGTGACAGGAGTGAGAATGTTTATGTTATGTATGGTATGTATTATGTTAATTTTTTTTCTTGAACTTTCAACTATGTTCTGCCTGCAAACAATCCACAACTATCTCCCATTCTGGAAATTTGCTACAGTCCCTCATTTACCATGCCTAATAGCAATCGCAGTACTAGATGTCTTGTACCTTCAACGCTGTTTCTCACTACCTGCATATTATTTTAATAGGATAAGGGATTACAAACTAGCATACAGTCCACCTGATGGTAAGTGGTTGCTATAGCCCATAGATCTCTACATCTATCCTAGATTACAAATCAAAATGATGCGTTGTCACCCGTGACGACTAAGATGGAATGCCCCTATTCCAGTAAAAAGGGTCTCCAGTTCTCTACACTCACTATACAAAACACAGCGGCGTTAAGCTGCTATTTTACGCTGGTATTCTGTGAGAGCGTGGTCCTTCCTCTGTCGAGACGACCCATTTGTGCTACAACTACACTACTAATATAGCTGCAGCATGGCTCTACCACGTACAAAAAAATTCAAGTCTAGTATAAATATGATGTGGTCATGTCATTCCAGAATGCAAATAAGCTGCCATCATAAAATTCTTCTTTATCAAACTTTCTTGAAGATTTTTTATTTTTAATTAGCTACTTTAAGTTAGAAGTAATTGTACAAAACTGGAACAGCAACATAACATAATGTATTACTAAAATTAGTTATGGAATATTCATAATATTACATTGTGGGTAAAACATTAAAAAGTTGTAGAAATTTCTTTGGAGGAATGTTGGTTAGCATGCCAACAAATTGATATTTGAAAAGTAGGTGTTAAATTATTTCAAAATTCCATCACTTAATTATAACAACTTAAAACATGTGCTTAAGAATTAGGAAATGGAAATAACTACTGTTTACATATCCCTCTAATTAAATGACAATATCAGATTAATTTGATTATGTATAAAAAAAAATATGGCAAATATCCTCCCATTTTTATGGTGTACTATTTACTAAATAGTTTCTTATTATATGATAACTTAGTGCAAAAACGTATTAATTTAATTGTAGTGGTGATCGACCATGTCAAGCACAACAATACTTGGAGAGAGTACTTATTCCAATATAATAAAACATACAAGATAACATACATATTTTATATACAAAATTAGTATATAAACTTACAAATTTTTAACTGTTTTAATTTAAATCTTAATCTTAGCCAATATAAAGTGTCGCTATTTATTTATATTTACAATATGCAAGCAATATAACTATGCAAGTTGTTATATTATAACTTTAAGATAAACATTGCATAATCATCATTTAATATTTTTATGTTGAAATGAACAGTAATATCCTTGTCTATATTTTTCGATAATATTTGGTTCACCATAAATTCAAATTACGAGGGTGGATTGAAAAGTACCCACATTATTTAGTTCAGTTCAGACTAGTTCATTGTGTGAAGTTCGAAACGTGTGTGATAATTAGTTGTGATTTTATAAATTTATTAACAAAGTAATCGGACATAATTTCCGCGAATGGAGCAAATCGAGCAGCGTGCCGTCATTAAGTACCTCCATAAGAAGGGGCTATCATCAAAAGCCATCCATGATGACATGGTCAGTACATTAGGCGATTGTGCTCTGTCATATTCATCCGTCAAAAAATGTATAGCAGAATTTAAGCATGGTAGAGAGAGTGTGAAAGATGAACCCCGCTCTGGAAGGCCTTCGACGTCAACTACTGACGAAAATATTAAAAAAGTACTTGATTTAATAATGGGAGACCGCAGATTAAAAATTAGAGAGATAGCCGAGATTATAGGCATCTCTTATGAACGAACTCAAAACATCATTGTCAACGAGTTGGGTTTCCACAAGGTGTCTGCGAGGTGGGTTCCGCGACTGCTTTCAGTTGAACAAAAACGGACGCGATTGACTATTTCACGCGACAGTTTGGAGTTATTTGAAGCCGATGCAGATGATTTTTTGAATCGTTTTGTTACTATGGACGAAACATGGGTTCATTACTGTACACCGGAAACAAAACAACAATCAAAACAGTGGAGAAGACCTGGTTCACCACCCCCTAAAAAGGCTAAGTCGATTTTGTCGGCAAATAAGGTGATGGCTTCAGTATTCTGGGACTCGAAAGGTGTGATTATGATTGATTATCTTGAAAGGGGTCAGAATATAAACTCTGATTACTACTGCACCTTACTACGTCGTTTACGAGAGGAAATAAAAGAAAAACGTCGAGGAATGCTCAGAAGAAAAGTCCTGTTTCATCAAGATAACGCCCGTGTTCACACGTCAGTACAGTCAATGGCTGAAATTCACAACTGTGGCTTTGAACTGTTACCGCATCCACCGTATTCACCTGATCTGGCACCATCAGACTTCTTTCTGTTCCCTAACCTAAAAAAGCACTTGGGAGGTCAAAGATTTTCGACAAACGACGAGGTCAAAGCAGCTGTAGATGCATATTTTGACTCTAAGGAAGAATCATTTTTTTTCAACGGTCTAAATGCTTGGAAGGGGAGGTGGCAAAAGTGTATTGAACTTGATGGTGATTATGTAGAAAAATAAAAATATAACTGATTTAGTATTTGTTTATTTTCTTGGTTAGGCCGAGTACTTTTCAATCCACCCTCGTAGATTCAGTAATCAATTAGTACCAATTTTAATTGATATGGAAAATATTATTCCTTGACTGACTTGACACTAGCAGAATTCTACCAAGAGAAGCCATAATTTAAAAGAAGAAGAAGATATTATTCCTTGTATTCCCACAGGGTAGGACATAATTGAACTTTACTATATTAAATGTTATTGACATTTAGATCTATGAAATAACTGAGTCATCTCTAATTCATACAACAGGAATTTATGGTGAACAGATTTCAATCAATAAAATGATTGTAATAATTTGGAAAAAATGGGATACAAAAAGATAACACAGTAAGTTAGGCAATGGTTCTCTTGTGCTCCATCACATGATATATAAAATTTTATGTGGTAGAGCCATGCTGCAGCTATAGTAGTATATTAGCAGTTGTATGAAATATGAATGGGTCGACTCGACCGGGAAGGGACCACGCTCTCACAGTATACCAGCATTAAATAGCAGCTAAACACTGCTGTATTTCGTATAATGAGTGTAGAGAACCGGAAACCCTTCCATTGAGGCATTCCATCTTAGTCCTCACAGGTGACAACACTTCTGCATTTTGATTCGCAAACGAGGATAGATGGTGGACTGTGTGCTCGTTTGTCACCCATTCCTATAAAAAAAAATAGTACTGCCTGGTTGGTCTAGTGGTTGTGAGCTTGCCTGCTGATCATGTGCTCCCCATGTGATGATGTGTTCAAAATCCCATATTGGGCCAAACTTTGTTATTGAATATTTCTGTCACAAAATTCTCAGTGAGAGAGAGCCCAGAGTCAGTAAGTACCAGCAGTGTTCCACCCTTGTGCTTCAAAAAGCATGTAGTGTTGTTGGTCCTACATCTGATATTGTTTCTTTGTAAATTTGATGTAATTATATTTATAAAATATATGTTTTATCACTGACCGGACCTTAGGTCTATTTGACCAGTTTATGGCAGAAACTGTTTTAGGTACAGTTAAATCTTATGACACTATATACACTATAAAATATAAGGATATACTTATCAGCAAAACTGGAGGATACAAGAGCTACACATTTTTTATTTATTTAGAAAATATTTATAAAGGAAAGAATGAAAATATTAATTACCAATATTATGAAATAAACACATGCTGGACAAATAGAATAAAGTTTCATATTATTAGTATTAACTCCAGCTCCAATAAAGTATTATACCAACCTTCTCATCTTTTTTCTCCTCAATAGGTGTCATCATTGTGAAACATGCACACCATAACGAAAATACTATATTTTTTCTTTTTGTTTTCCAACACAGCACTCAATCTTCCTTAATATTTAACATTTTTGTTAGCTAAAACCGAATAGATAAAATCAAATAAGCATCTTCTCCAACGACTTAAGCCCTTTCACAGTAATACCATTAATTATTTACGAGATACACATTACAAATAAGAAAAACAGGTCACTTGCTACAGTAAATCAATATACGTGAAGAACCAAAACAATTCAGATAAGTTTATGACAAGTTTTATTGAATTCAAAATAAATTAATGATTGTATACGTGTTTCAGTAGTCAAATCAAATTCAAATTATTCTTTAACCCTACGTATCATTTTGTGTAATAAAAACACTCACTTCGATTACAAATTTTAGCGAAACTAAAATATACGTCCACCATTCATACATGCAAAGTAATACTAACTAGGCTTGGGCAAAAAATATCGAAATATGGATGTTTTTAAAAAAATGACGATATATATCGTCGATATTTTAAATCGCGATGTATCGATATTTATTTTAGAGTATAGAATTCGTATAAATTTCGATATATTTTAAAATATCGTATTAATGACAAAACATGTAACCAATAAAAGGAGGTACAAAAGTATTCATTATATTTTTCGTCGTCAACCGCTAGTAATATAAAATTTTAGACCTTATCTTTACATTATGCAAATGATGCCCATATATTGATATATAACGATACTGTTAAAATATCGATTCGATATATATTGATATTTTTTTTCCTTTGCCCATTCTTATTACTAACAGGTTTGCCACTTGCCAGTAAAATTTTATATTAGGTACTTGCTTTAAAACGTATAGCGATTATATTATATAGTTTGCTTGCTTTAACGAAATCTAATAGGTCGGGGAAACGTTTCTTCGTATTTTGTTAGTATAAAACTGAATAAAAATCTCTTTAGTTCTACTATTTGTATCTGGATGGTTTTGATATCAGTACTTATAGGACATTAAGAAACAAAAACCGAAAAATAAAAACATTTTCTCGTCATTTTCAATTGTTTTTCTGTTCGCCAAAATGAGTGAATCTAACGAAGAAATTCGATGCATTCAGATGTTTTACTACAAAAAAGGAATAAATGTGACTCAAGCTGTGAAAACAAGTTGTGACGTTTATGAACTTAATGCAGTGTCTGTAAGAGGAGCACAAAGTTGGTTCAAGCGTTTCCAGTTCGGGAGTTTTGATGTCAAAGATGTAGCTCGCTCTACTTGCCCTCATACGGATTAAGTCGATGCCATTTTTTAAAAAAGTGGAGCAAGATCGGCATATTAGTAGTTACGACACTGCCTAAGAATTGACCACAAAACAGTTCGGACCCATTTAAAAAAATCTGGTTATACAAAAAAGTTCCATATTTGGATACCACATGAGCTCACTTAAAGAAACCTAATGAATCGTGTACACGTGTACCTAATCATTTGCGATTCGTTATTGAAACGTAATGAAACCGAATCATTTTTGAAAAGATTGAACACTGGTAATGAAAAGTGGATCACCTACGAAAAGCACGTGCGAAAGAGATCATGGTCAAAGAGAAGTCAAGCTCCACAGACACAGACTGTAGCGAAACCCGGATTAACACGTAATAAGATGATGCTGTGTGTATAGGACGATTGGAAGGGCGTCGTTTGTTATGAGCTTTTACCGCCAGGCAAAGCCATCGATCCGGATCTCTACTTCCAACAACTAATGAGACTCAAGCAATAAATTGAGAAAAAACGGTAGGTATCGAACAATTTTTGTTTGTATTTTTCTTTTTATTCTCTTGAACGTAATGAATATTTCAAAATTAAATCTCAATTATATTTCATGACATCTTAATTACAACGTATGACTACAGCTATATACAATTTTTTTTATTTGCGTTATAAATTATAGCAATAGGTAGGGGTCTAAATATGTTTCGCAATGTTCTAAAAAATTGACATCATAATTTTGTTCCTATCGCACTAATTTTGATATAGCATCAAAATCAAGGAAGTATCATCAGCAAATAATACTATATTATGACTATCCCCTACAAGGTGAGGTAAGTCATTAATATACACCAGAAACAGAAATGGGTCGAGAATCGAGCCCCGAGGAAGTACTATGTATGAACTAAGTGGTTAGACCCCACTTTTATCTAGGAGTTCCTCTGGGTAGGTATTACCTTCTTACGTAGTACCGAGCGCTAACCATCTGAGCTACCACGCCGCAAGCCGTGGTAGCTCAGATTATTAGCGCTCGCTTTGAGTTTCACAGTACTCGAGCAACCCGGGTTCGATCCCCACCGGCACAAATGAAATTGTTAATTGCAATCTTAAGTGATGATTTACCGCGTGCTCGGCGGTGAAGGAAAACATCGTGAAGAAACCTGCATGTCTGAGAAATAAGAAAAAAAATTTCTAAATAAAACTAATTTTACGGATTTTATCGCGTATATTAACTTATTTTTATATTCCCGACGTTTCGGGTGCTTTCCAGCACCCGTGGTCACGGGGGACTGAGGTGTTTGACGTCCTGCTGTCATAGTTAGCCCGGCTACCTTCAGTTTTTAATATAATTTTTGACTCGATTTACACGAGCTTACAGTATCTGGAAGTCTAGCAGTGGTATACTTGGGTTTGGATTTGATTTTATTAATTATGGGATCCCAAGCCGATGGCAGCACCCATCCATCTTCTCTATTGAAATTAGCATGTTTTTTAATTTCAATAGCCTCGCGAATCATCCTTGGGAGGAATCGGTGTTCTTTTGCGAGGATTTGTGGTCTATCAAATCAAACTAGGATTTTCTCCTGTATTGTGGAGGCAGTTTACATACATAGATTGCACGAGGACAAACATGCAGACACGGAACAATTATTTGTAGGCCATACAAATACATGTTCCGTGCGGGGATTCGAACCCGTGACCCCCGGCGCTTCAACTCATTGTTAAGCCACTGCGCCACGGAGCCGTCAAAGGTTTAGCATTAACGTTTCTGTGCTTGAGCAAAGATGAAAAAAAAAGAAAATGGATGAAATTGTGGCTGAAAGAGCGGATTACTTTAAACCATAACAATATTTTAAAGATTCTTGATTCTGAAGACTTTCGGAATTTTCTAAGAATGGATCAAGATACTTTTAATGAATTACTTGAGATGGTGCGTCCAATGATTACAAAAAAAAATACAGTTATGCGTCAAGCCGTGTCTGCTGAAGAACGATTAATAGCTACATTAAGATTTTTGGCTACGGGAAGAAGTTATAAAGATCTGAGATTAGTACAGTTACATCATTTCTATAGTGCCGTTAAACGTTCGCCCGCGACGACTGACAAGCGCGCACTAAGGTGCCTGCCGCCTGGCGCTCTCGTCGACTCGTCGGCCGACAGCTTTCCACACGGTCGGCGTCAACCACGGACCCGACGTGTCGTGAGCCAAGTCCTGGCCGACATAAGGGCCGGCACTGACCCCATTACCACCGTGATGAAGGCTCTTGCAACTCTGCTGGCCCGGCATTACGGAGGAGAGTAACCGTAACCTGTGCCTCCTCTATTGGAACCCGGACGGGATACAGCAGGAGGATCCATGAACTCCGTACAGTCGCTCAATAACAGGACATCCAAGTGATCTTGCTGGGGGAGACGAAACTCAGGCCATCAACGCATCTAAAGCTGCCAAATTTCCACATCTACAGGCGGGACGAAGTCAATCCTCAAGGGACCGCCTATAGAGGCATGGCGGTTCTAGTGAGGAGAGACGTCGTCCACCAAGAGCTAGACCTGCCAGACTACCGATCGATGCGCTCCATCGGCATAAAAATGGAGACGGCGGGCGAGGAACTAAGGATCTACGCAGCATACCGCCCGCCAGGGACTCCAGTTTACTCCTCAGACGTTCGAACGGTAATGGAAGGCACAACGCCCACCATCATCGCCGGGTACCGAAACGCCAAACACCCAGCGTGGGGGTCAAGATTGATCAACCCGCCGGGTCGTGCACTATATGAAGATATGGAGGAGAACAGCTACGACGTTTTAGGTCCCGAGGAACCATCTCACGTATGAAAGTTTGTACGACATGAACACACAGCACCTCCCGATACTAATTACTCTTGGCCTCAGGGCTGTGACTATGCCGCCCAGAGCCTTCAAGACCAGAATAGACTGGGGGCTCTACCACCAACACCTGCAGGGGAGACCTCCAGTCTTCACGCCGATTAATACAGCGGACGACGTAGAGGCCGCTGCAACCAAGATAACCAAAACCATCCAAGAACGAACCATCAACGCAGCCTCTACGGTAGTCCCACTAACAACTAAAAGGGACGTACTGCCGCGCGACATATGTGCGCAGATTAAGCGCAAGAGGGCGCTGAAGAAGCTCTGGGCGAACACTCGCTGCCCCAGACTGAAGAACCAGTTAAACCGGATTTCGGATGAACTGTCGGTTGCAATCCAGGCCCACAGAGGAGAGGCCTGGGAGCGGCATGTCGTGAAGGCGGAAGAGCAGAATGCGTCGCTCTACAAATTGAACCGACAATTGACCAAACCAAGACCCGCAGTATGCCCGTTGACCAACAACGCGGGCGAACGTCGCTACGATGCCAAGGGTAGAGCTGATATCCTAGCAGAGCGCTTCGAGGAGCAATTTATGTCGAACCCAGCATGTGCGGGGTTCATGGATCTTCATGCCCGGAAGGAGAGCCGTGTACAGGAGTTTTTAATTATTAACAGTGGAAGAGCCACGCGGCAGCTTTTGCTGTCGCACGCATGGGCCGGCTCAAACCGGGGTGGTACCACGACCTCACAGAATACCAGCGTGAAGTAGAGGTTTACCTCTGCGTTTCGCTTGGTGAGTGCAGGTGGCCGGAGGCCCTTTTTACTGGAAATGAGGCATTCCATCTTAGTCCTCACGGGTGGCAACGCATCTGCATTTTGATTCGCAAACGAGGATAGATGTAGATGTCTATGGGCCGCAGCAA